CGAATCAATTGCGAATCATAATGTAGTATCAAAATACAACCTGAGAATATACAAATTAAAATCATGATTTATGTGAGAAATGCGCAAAAAAATAATATGGCTGCTAAAGGGTACCCGTTAACCCGCCCGTTAAGAAAATTACCCGTTCGTTAGTTAAAGGTACACCCGTTTGACCCCTAGTTTATACCATCTAAGACCCTGACAGTACGGACAACAGACCCTTGTTGGTGGACACCTGAGTGCAGCACTGTAGTTCAAGCAAAGACTCGTGCATGGAAACGGTGGCGTCAGCACCCCGATGATGGAGATTTGCGAGCTTCATTCATCGACCTAGTGACCCGAACAGCTGCTATTCTGCTGCGCGCCCAATCATCACATGATGCTCGTGTCAAAGCTAAGCTCAGCTCAGGCTCACTTAACGACAAGCAATGGTGGTCCAACATGAAGAGAGCTGCTGGGATGGAACGTGCCTCTGAGATACCTCTGCTGAAGGACACCGACGGCACAGAGTATCCAACTCGCCAAGCCAAGGCCAATTGCCTCGCCAGGTACTACTCCCAGAAGTGTAGCCTTGCAGATGATGACATCTCTCCAGACGATCTGCCAGAAATGCAGCATTTGGACCGCCATGGTCTTGACCGCATCCATTTCCGGCTTGCTGATGTACGCCGCCGTCTAGCCAAGCTGAATACATCGAAGGCAACAGGACCTGACAATATTCCAGCAAGAGTCCTAGCTCAGTGTTCCAGTGAGCTTGCAGAACCAGTCACCAAACTGTTCTCACTCTACTTTCGCCACGGTGTTCAACCTACCAAATGGAAGCTGGCCCATGTGGTTCCAGTCTTCAAGAAGAGCCCCCGCTCGGATCCCAAGAATTACCGGCCAGTCTCACTACTATCCATCCTGTCAAAAGTAATGGAGAGCATAGTAAACAAGCAGCTCGTGAATTATCTGGAGCGTTTCAATATTCTGCCCGACAGTCAATATGGCTTTCGGCAAGGAAGAGGCACGTGCGACATCCTCACTGCTTTGCACACTGAGTGGGTCAAGACTGTCAGCGATGGAGGGTACGCTCACATGGTGGCGGTGGACATAGCAGGAGCATTTGATCGGGTATCACACTCTGGACTGATTTTCAAAGCCAAGAACGTTGGCATTGGTGGCTGCCTGCTGCACTGGCTGCAGGATTACCTCCTGAACCGCAAACTATCAGTCCTGGTCCACGGCGACTCATCCTCTCCGGCGCCCATAACAGCAGGTGTGCCCCAAGGTAGTATCCTTGGCCCGACACTTTTCCTCTTGTATGTGTCTGACCTGGATCAGTGCCTGTCTCCCGAGACGCGACTAAGTTCCTTTGCAGACGACACAACACTCTACAGCCTCATCCGCACGCAGGACAATATGCATGACATGACTGCCGCCTTGCAATCCAGCCTCAAGCGTCTTGAAGAGTGGGGAGAACGCTGGCGCATCAGATTCGAGCCCTCTAAATCGCAACAGCTGCTGATGACTACGAAAGCCACACACCCTGCTGTCCCTGACATCAAGTTTGGAGGTATCGCGGTTCCGGAAGCCAACACCATCAAGCTTCTTGGAGTGACATTTGACGCCAAGCTGTCATTCCGGGATCACTTGCACTCAATTGCGACACGTGGCTGCCAGAGACTGGGTGTTCTCCGTCGGGCTTGCCGGGTGTTAGATTACCATGGCCGGCTTTGTGCGTACAAGGGATTTGTGCGACCCATCCTCGAGTATGCTCCCCTTGTGTGGATGGGAGCTGCATCCAGCCACCTCGCCCGACTCGACCGTGTACAGAAACGTGCAATGGCCATTATTGGCCCTGGTGCCCTTCTCCAAAGCCAGTGCCACCGCCGGATTGTATCTGGGCTTGTATATCTGTACAAGCTCCAGTGCATCCCAGGACCACCCCAGCTCACCGCCATGATCCCCCCTCCAGCCAACCATGTAGAAGCTCGGCGCACCCGGAGTCAACCCCCTCCTGGCCAGCAGCACCATGTGCAGCTGCAACAAGTCCTGGACAGGAGAGCACCTGCCTATGCTTCTCACTCCTTCCCGTTTTCTGTAGTCTCAGTATGGAACAGCTTGCCAAGCGAAATTGTAAGGGCTCCACTCAGCTTGAAGCGGCTCCACACGTTCAAAGAAGATGTCCATAAGTACCTCACGCACCAACACTGGCTGATGGCTACCGACTTCTACGGATGAACTTCTGACTGTGGCACGGGTCATGTTCCTTGGTTCGGCTCTGCTGATGATATTGGGCTTCATTTACCTTTTATTATTTAAATTTTTATTATTAATTTTTTATTTAGTTTGTTTTGTTTGTTATGATTTCTTGGTTTTCCACCCGGTTTAGTTATAATTTAAATTATTATTTGGTGCAGCTTTAGCGCTATGTGGTTTATTATTTCCTTTTTCTTAATTTCGTATTTAGCGCTTTTGGGCGTCATTATTTTCTTCTCATTATTTCGCACCAAGTTATTATTTGTGGTATTCTCTAGCTTCTGTTTGTTTTGCAGTTGTTCTTGTGCACCCCCCCCCCCACACACACACTTTTTTCGATGCCTAGTTGCAACGCTGACGCCGAGACCTCTGGTCGGTTGAGTTGCTCCCAGCACATCAGCACGTCGTCCCTACATCCCCTATGTTTTGTCCTTTTCCTCGTTTCTTTTGTTCTCCACCTGTTTTCCAGTAGGGCTGTGTCAATAGTAAATAAATAAATAAATAAATAAATATATATATATACAGTGGTCCCTCTATAATCCGGCACCATTTGTGCCACGAAAATGTGCTGGATTAGGGAGGGTGCTGGATTAACAAATCTGATCTACTGCTGCAATGTGCATGAAGAGGACATTTGGCTACTGAAAATTGTGCCGGTTTATCGAGGGTGCTGGATTATAAAGTGCCGGATTAGAGAGCGACGACTGTATATATATATGGGCCAGTGCATGCGAAAACGTGTCTTCGGGGGAAACCGATTTCTTTCAGAATTTTGAGAAAATCGCTCGGAAAGAAGAGTTATATTTTTTTGTGGCTCGATCGCGGATCTTGTCTACATAATCCCAATCGATCTCAAGGCGACAAGAGAAGCGACAAGCGATCGACTTGCAGCAATAGTCATGGACGTGGCGGCGCAGGAGGAGTTGGAAGTAGCACTTGAGGAAGGGCCTCTGAGTAGACATACTCGTGGCAGACGCCGAGCAGCACGTCGGTTGAGCTGTACCGCTCGCGTGATTATCGTCGGCGCGTCCGAAGAGATCGGCAAGGTTTATTATCGAGGAGGAAGACGACAATTTATTTGGTTGGTTGGTTGGTTGGTTTTTATTTCACTTCGCACATTCAAACGGGATGACGACCCAATAAAATGACGGCGAAGGCTTAGCCTAGAAGTGGCTATGGAAGAACATAGTAAAAGCTATGGAAGCACATAGTAAGAGAATAGGATACTAATAACTGCGGGTAAACGGGGGGAGAGAGAGAATACGATGTATCTGTGATACTACGTGCGGGTTACTGAACTGCACGGGGAGGGAGAGCAGAGCAATCAGCAGCAACTCGAACTACTCCCTACAGGCGTATGGTACACATGCATGCTTAAACTCAGGTAGCCGGGAAATTGTGCGGACCTCACCAGGGAGAGCGTTCCACAGCAGAGCACCAGCAACAGAAAATCTCCGCTGACCGCGGCGGCTACGGTTTGCCTGGCTTAGTAGGCCATTTGACTGCTGATGGCGGGTAGGGGTGCCTTGTGCCGGGGTCAGAAGCTGGGCGAGCACAGGGCTGGTGCGGGCGTTTATGCACCGCCAGATGGTGATCAATATTTTCTGCCTGTAGAGCTCGCTGACACGGTACAGGGAGTGAGCAGTGAGCAGCGGCTGCATGGCTGTCCGGGGCGGGTTGCCATCGATACAGCGGATGGCTCTGTTTTGCGTGGTTTGCAGTCGTTTCAGTTGACCCTCTCGCATTGCGGCTGAAAAACAGCAGGAGCCATAAAGCAGGTCGGGCATTATGACCGCCTTCACATACACCTGACGAGAGCGTCTTGATAGGCTTCGGCGTGCCCGCCACAAGGCGCCAATTTTCTTGGCAACCTTGGTGACCACATAGTTTACATGGGTGTCCCAATCTAGGCGATTGTCAAGGTGAACGCCGAGGTAGCGCGCAGAAGACGCTGAGGGGAGGAGACAGTCGCCGCTTTTGACTGTTACTTCCTGTACATGCTGCTGGGGAGAGATAGTCAGAACCTGGCTCTTGGTGGCGTTCAAGATAAGGCCTCGGGACTTCAGCCAACCGGCCAGAGCAGTTGCCGCTGTGGTGAGGGTTCTGGACGCTTCCGCCGCTGAGGCCTGGGAGTCGTACAGGGCTATGTCATCTGCAAATTGTACACTTGGCACAGGCGAGGAAACCAAAGGGACATCGCGTGTGTATATACTGAAGAAGACAGGGCCGAGAACAGAGCCTTGGGGCACTCCGCAGGTGCAAGCCAGAGCAGGGCTGGTTGAAGGCGAGATGAGGATCTGCTGCTTGCGGCCGGACAAGTAGTCGACGAACCAACTAAGGGCTTTTCCAGA